CAAACAAAAGCTCATTGCACAGGGACCTTTATTTCCTTTAGTCTGTAACACCTTCAACTCCATCAGCTTGCTGTAAGAGGGGTATTTCTAACTGTATTCTAAAAAACTAAGGAACTGTGCAAAACATTGGCTAATCAGGACTAATGCAATCAAATATATGTGAAAATACTCCACAGAAGGAAATATGGCATGAAACAATGTTTATTAAAAAGGACTGTACAGACACGCTGAACATTTAGCACATTACTCCAACTGGGCACAGGAGTATAATATTTAAAACACAGAACCCATTGAAACTCAAGGCTAGCACTAATGAATATAACTAATGAGGGAAAGGCAGAAGGCTCTCAAATAAGGATGAACAGTGTCTTTTGTATTTTACTTACTAAGGATGTTAGTTAGCTCTTACCTGAGCCCTGCTGGAGCAGTCTGATCTTAGAAGCAAAACAGCTGGGGCTATACTTTCAGAAATGGCCTCTAATTTTGTAACTTGCAGTTGAGGGCAGGTTCACTTAATTGCAAGGATGCCTGATGGTAGGGTTGCCAACTTTCTGACTGCAAAAAAACGAACATCACTGCCCCTTTCCCGAGGCCCCACCCCACGCTCACTCCATCCTCCCTCCCTCCGTAGCTCGCTCTCCCCCACCTTCATTCACTGTCACCAGGCTGGGGCAGGGGGTTGGGGTGCAGGAGGGGGGCAGGGCTCCGGCTGGGGGTGTGGTCTCTGGGGTGGGGCTGAGGGGTTCAGGGTGTGGAAGGGGGCTCCGGGCTGGGGCAGGGGTACGGGGGGGGGTATGGGCTCTGGGGTGGGGCCAGGGCTGAAGGGTTCAGCGTGCGGGAGGGGGCTTAGGGCAGGGGTAGGGGGTTGGGGAACAGGAAGGGGTTCGGGGTGCGGACTCTGGGTGGCACTTACCTCAGGCAGCTCCTGGGGAGTGACCACATGTCTCTCCAGCTCCTAGGTGGAGGTGCGGCCAGGGGGCTCTGCGTGCCTGCAGGGGCTGCCTCCGCAGCTCCCATTGGCCAATGGGACCCACGGAGCTGACACTCGGGGTGGGGACAGCACGCAGAGCCCCCTTGGCCACGCCTCCGCCTAGGAGCCAGAGGGACATGCCGGCTACTTCCTGGGAGCCGGGCATGGAACCTGCCTACGCCGCCAACTGGACTTTTAACGGCCCGGTCAGCAGTGCTGACCAGAACCGCCAGGGTCCCTTTTCAACCAGGTGTTCCAGTCAAAAACCCGACACCTGACAACCATCAGTTAACTCTTGAGTGCACATATTAAAATACGAATTGTCAAAGTTATTCATAGGTGCAAAATTAGAGGCCACTGTTGATCTTTAGAGGCTTTTACTTTACCAGAAAATACAGAAATTATATAATAAGAACTATGGTGCAGATAGTTTGCTCATATACCTAAAAGAGCAAGAAATCAATAAGGGGTGTCATTTCAGAAAAATTCTGGACAGATGGACGAGGTGGCAAAGTTGTGTCATCATATAGAAAATTATATGTGATTATATTATAATCTACAAAGTCTCGAGGGGGGGGGGAAAGGGGATTGCAAAAAATGGAAGACATAATGGAGCATACAAACCTATGAGAAGTCTCGAGGGACCGCTGCCCCCCTTTCCTCATAGCAAATGAGGCCCCTGAAATCAATATTTCATAATATAGGTTTGTATAGTCTCTTAACGAGAAAAAAGATGAGAGGAAAAGAAAGGGCCCAGTGCTGTCATGTCAGAAGCCATCCAATAATCTTCCTGCAATCTGCAATAGTGGTAACAGGGGAATACTGTTTTCCCTATGAAAGAACCCCTCTCCCTTAAATACATAAACAACTTTTGACTCCTTGGGGTCACAGTTTGACTTACTACTAGAAATGCACATTATTCATATGGCACAATTTTGTAAAAAAGAAAAAATACAAAACCAACAAAGCACGCTATTGATATGGCACAGCTTTGTAAAGAATATGAAAACAGCCATGTAAATACTAATACATGATTGGTATAAACTAGATATGCTACATGCACATATTATAAAAATGTGTTTTTCCTTATTTTAAAAAAAAGTTAGCTTGTTGAACACGAAGGTGCCAGAGACTAGATTTAAAAAAAAAAAAAGTGCAGATCACTGACTTAGAAAATGGTGCATCTCCAAGCACTCTTCAGTTCAGTCAGAGCTCTGCTCTAGAAATCCCCAAGGAGGAAGTAACTCTGGAATGTAACAGTGAAGTGAGAGTAGTCAGGACAGAGTCTATCCCTTCAGCTATCCACAGGACAGGATGTCACAAGGACTTTACAAATCTACTTTTCTGAGCAAACTACTTCGTTGCAGACCCATTTGCCCAATGTCCATTGTCATTACTTTTTGAAGTTATGTATATATGCTATTAACAGGATAATGCTCCCTCTCATGAATTCAGATTAAGGGCCCTTATGCTGCCTTCTAACTATACACATTTTCCATTAACCCCAACAGGAGTCGCACTATTGAGGGAAGGTAGCATATGGCCTTTCAACATTTAAAAGTAGAATACAGCGTTTATTTTTAATAAACAGGAGTCAAGACATAAAAGACTGTCAGTCAATGTCACCACTGCCCTCTACTGAATGGAATGTCAGATTTGATCAAGAATGTGTCTGATCAATTACCTTCTAGTGGCTATATCCCTTAGAGGCTCTTAGTCCTAATACTAAATCTAACAGAAAAATGCCCATTTATATTGAGTGGTAGAGGCCTGTATTTTCAGGAGCAGAAGGTTCTGAGGGCTCTCGCTGCTGATAGATGTTTATATGGTTATGAAATTATTACAACGCTACAAGATGAACTAAACTTGCAATAAGTGGCTCACTTCAATAAAATCCCGTTGGGACAACTGGGCCTATAACGTTTTGCCTGTTGGGAATTAATCATGAAAAGTAGGTCAAGTTATTCTTTATGCAGAATGGTATAAACAGGTGCAAGAAAACCAGACAGAAAAACGGAATTAGTCCAAACTCAAAGGTGTACTGATAAAACTCTAGGATGGTGTTGAGAAGTGAACAAGAAAGAAAATGTGGGTCTGGAAATTAATTAACTAAAACTGGTATGTTAGAAACGTGGCCTAACTGGTAGACAAATTAGAGCGGGGAAGAGCTATTTCACCCATCATTCCCTTTGTGGTCCTTAAAGGAAGAGACTTTGTGGGGAAAATACAGAAGAACAGACAGACGACTGAAGCAAGTTTCACCATCCTAGCTGCCACTCCCACCATTTCCTGGGACCCCAAGCCTTTGCCTTCCTAATCCTTAGGGCAATTCATGTGCTTTGGCCAGCAAAAGCTTTTTATGTGGGCTTGTACGGTCCCCAGTAGCAAGTAAAGTCTCCTCACCAGAGGCCAGGGTGTGGCTTATTCTGTGTTTAACTAACCAACAAAAATCCTTAATACAGTGGTCCCCCAACTTTTTCTGTCACGCCTCCCCTTACCAGTAATGGAATCTATTTTCCCCCCACCCCCACCCTTGAGGAGCTGTGGTCGGGAGCCGGGTCAGGGCCCGGGGCTGAGAGTGGAGCTGTGTTCAGGATCGGGAGCCGGGGGCCCAGGCTGGGGCTGGAGCGGAACTGGGGGCAGAGAGGGGCTGGATGTCCCTCCCTCTCCGTTCTCCATGGGGGCTGGCCTGGGGCCCCCCCAAACCTGAACATTCCTCCATGCCCTCCTGTGGGGGGATGTCCCACAGTTTGGGGTCCTCTGCCTTAATACAACCACTCCAGCACAAGTATGGATGAAGGATTGGGGCAATGGAGAGGGGAGGATAAAAACCTAGGGAAGGGGCTCCCTCCTTCTGTAATCCCAAGTGTTATTGAAAAGAATATTTAGTACTTTAGAAATATTCTTAATATTCAAGGCTCTTTAATTTGCACAATCCCCCTGTGAGACAAGTCAGTATTATCAGGCCTACTGAAGAGTGTCAATCACAAAGCAGTTAGTTATGTTCTCAAGGCACCAGGACTAAGTGGTATAGTTGGGATTAGAAACCAAAAGGTTCTAGGTCCCTGTTCTTGCCCTTCCTCAGAGAAGCTACTCTTACTTTGGCTGAAATAAGGAAAGGCGCTCACCCTATATCGGGGGAATCTGATAGATACTCCAGCCAGAGCTCTGTTGGCACATGTGTAGAGCAAGAAGTGGAAATCAGCTCTGGAGTAGAGCTGGTTGGAAAATGGCTTTTTTCTGTGGAAAAATTTTAATTTTTTTGTTGAAAAACAAGAAGTTTTTATAGGAAAGTGCACTCATCTGGTGAAAACTTCCTTTTGTCAAAAACTCAGTTTTCACCATAAAATTTTCAACCAGTACTACTGAGGAGTGCACAAGTGAAATTCCTTATGACTTCAATGGGCTTGTACCTGCCTACTCTAAAGCTGATTTTGACCCACAGTTGTAAGGGGGAAAGGAGGTTTAGAATGGCTAATATTGCAGTTAATGATCACTAAAATCCAGGGTATTTTATGATTTCCCCTGAAGAACTAGAATTAGCTATTTGGCTGCAGAGCCCAGGAATCCACAAATGCTGTTGAGGCCTTAGTTAGTTCTTAATTGAATTGAAGTCTGTTTTATGATTGCTGAAAATGGCCTAATTAAGATGCTAAACATCATTTAATATTAATATGGATACAATGGCTTAATCCCCTTCTCAAATTTTAATCCAGTTCTGTAGGAACAATACAATCAAACCCCATAAAACTGAACTATATGTTTATCTCCCGTGTGCCCATATCCCTATTTTTCCTGGTCATTTCAGATATACCACCAAATCCTTGGATACGCTGAGTTTTACTCTATATCTAGCCCATGTAATCTTGCTGGTTAGGTCAAGGCATGGGTCTTTAGCATAGCAAATGGATATTCAGCAACGTCTGTGCCTCAAGTGGGTTTCTGTTAGGAGAAAATTAGAGTAATCTTTTAGCAACAACTCTCTCTCTCTACAAAAAAAAAAAAAACAACTTGCTGTAGTAACACTTGATCATTAAGAATATTCTGGTTTTATAGACAGTGCCTGCTTTTTAGCAAAAGATACTGTGTGGCAAACAGTGTAGAGATAGAAAAAACACAGGGACATTTTGGCAAGTACAGTAGTGGTACCTTAGGTCTAATGTATTTAACTAGGAAACATGTATCCTCAAATATATCTTCACAGGAGGGATCATCTGTCGTTCTCTGCAATCAGATCTACAATGTGCTCATCGGCATTCAGACTACTTGCATTAGAAGTTCCATTTGGCTTAGGAGTCAAAAAGATGGAATGACTAAAATGTTGAAGTGTAGCACCATCAGCACTTCTCCTAAAACCAGAATGTGAGGACTGGATGGAAATTAAGACGGAACAGAAACATTGTGCTTACGTCACATTAGCTAGAAAACAATGGGTAAGTCATACTTAAGTCTGCACTTCAATAAACTGGCCACGTTTACAGTTCTACTGGAAAGGGATTAGGATGGGTCACATGTTTTCTCCATGGATTTTCTGTGTTTCACTCATCCTGTTTCCTCTTGGGTTTTTTGGGATTCCGAGACCGGCTCTTTGCTTTGCAGAGTGGACATATCGGTGCGTTCCGATGAATTTGCTGGTGACATGATAAACAGGCCTGCAATGCAATGTTACATCTTATTAATTTATTTGTATTGAAATAGTATCTAGGAGTCCCAGTCATGGACCAGGACCCTGTTAGCAACCTATTTCTCTGTGAGGTAATAAACCCATGAAGTTCTGTTGAGACACATTGCTTATTGAGCATGTTACCTGCTCTAATAAGTTAACTTACTGTACAGGAAAAATAAGTAAGGCCCTGCATACTCAGTGGCGAACTGGAACTAAATTCTGCGGCAAGGTTCCTAGATCCTACAGCAACTTCAGGTCAGTTGAAAACTAAAGGATTTATTGAATTAAATTTTCAAATGAATAAAACTGCCAGTGCAACCCCACTTCATCATTTATTTTGATATTAAATTCAAATTTATTTTGAGCTTTCCCTCACATTTTCAAGATTTTTGTACTGACAATGTCTGACTGTATCAGAAAAATTGTTTAGGAGGCCAGCTGTGATTTCATCGATTTTAAGTCAGAAGGCACCTCTATCTAGATCATCTGGTTTGACCCCCTGTATACAACCGGCCATAGACTTCTACTCACTTATCCCTGTATTGAGCCCAATAACTTGTGCTTGACTAAACCATATCTTTCAGGATATGTCTGCAGTGGAGTTGGAGATGTAACTTCTAGCTTGGGGAGACGTGCCCATGCTAGCTCGGATTGAACTAGTGCCCTAAAAAGAAGCAATGTAGCCATGGCTACATGGGCGGTGGAGTAGGCTGGCCACCCAAAATACATACGTAGGATACTTGAAGTTGCTAGCCCATCCCGGCACACATGCAGCTGCAGCTTCAAGTCTAGTTTTAAGCATACTAGTACAGTCAAAACTAGTACAGGTACGCCTCTCCAAGCTGGAAGTTACACCTCCACATCCAGTAGGCATACCCTCGGAAAGGCATCTAGTCTTAATCTGAAGACATCAAGAGATGGAGACTCCACTACTTTCCTTAGCCATGTCTACGTGTACAGTGCTCACAGCTGTACCAATGTAGCTGCGCCACTGCAGCACGCGTAGTGAAGACACTATGCTGACGCGAGAGAGCTCTGCCGTCGGCATAATAAAACCACCTCCGCAAACGGCAGAATCTATGCTGGCAGGAGACGCTCTCCCGCCGATGTAGTGCTGTGCACATAATGCCGGTGTAATTTATGCTGCTCAGGAGAGTGGTTTATTCCCCCTACCAGGAGAGTGACATAAGTTATGCCGACATAAGTTGTAGTGTAGATATAGACTTAGTAGTTTCTTCTAATGGTTAATCATCTTCTCTGTTAAAAATGTGTGACATATGTCTAATCTGAAATTGGCTTTAGCTTCCAGCCACTAGTTCTTGTCATGCCTTTCTCTGCTGGGCTGAAGAACCCATTAGTACCTGATATTTTCTCCTTGTGACAATAATGTTTCTCAAGCTCAGGAAGCACAGAGAGTAGAAACTGGCAGTACCTGTCCTATGACTGAAGAGTCCCTACAGGGGGAGTCATACAAGATACAGAGCCTGATTCTGACCTCTCACTGACTGGTGCAGCTCTTTTAACTTCAGGGGAATTGCCCTTGGTTTACTCTAAAGCAGGCAAAATAAGAATTGGGCACATCATTATTTTTAGTGCTAATTCCTTTATGAACATGATATGTTCCAATCACCCAAGAGACAAGCCTGTGTATTTGACCCCCAAGAGATAACGCCTCACCTTCATTGGAGGTGGCTGTTGTCTGAAAGTTGCTGTCTGTCTGGTGTCCTGTTTCCTAGCCACTTGTAGCTGTTGGGCAGCAGCTGCAGCTGCAGCCAGAGATTCTGGAATGGGAGGTTCCTGGGGTTCTGTCTGCCATTCAGCTTTCTGCTTTTCAAAGTAACTATACAAAAACAAACCAAAATTATAATCAACTGCTGGGCTGTCGTTTATTTATTTAACAAGCATTGATTTGTAATGACTCTTCTGTGCTAAGTATCAGAGGGGGAGCCGTGTTAGTCTGGATCTGTAACAGCAGCAAAGAGTCCTGTGGCACCTCATAGACTAACAGACGTATTGGAGCATGAGCTGTCATGGGTGAATACCCACTTTGTCGGATGCATGAACCCACTTCTGTGCTAAAACATCACGGGCCAAATTCAACTCTGGTTTTCTTCTTCTAGAAGCAAATGACTTGCACCAAGGACTCATTTGGACCAAATTTTTTAAAATGGGATAATGACAATAGTTAAAATACTGCATGTGGCCAAAACCACAAGCCCACCGACAATCAATCATCCTAATATACATGGAGAAGACTTGTCAAGTAATGAATTCCATCCACTCTCAATATCTAGGTTTTTGTGAATTTTTTAATGTTGTTGAGCCAGAGTCGATCATGTAACTGGTTAGTGGAATAATTATAGCAAAGCTGATATACTATGTTTCAGGTTCTTGTTTTCAAAGTTTTATCTGCATCAACAAGCACTAAGACATGTTTTTTATTCTTTGTTTTTAATATAAACTGAGATTTTGGAGTACAATTCTGCAGCAAGGGATGAACTGCATAATTATTAATTTAATATGTTCCAGGGGTAAGAGTTGATTTTATATATTTAAGACCACAGGAGGATCAGATTATTCATAGTGGATCAGGAAGAAATCACCCAATAAGATCACATGAGCCAAAGCAGAGAATTTGTCCCCTTCCCTTCAAGCATGAAGGGTTGGTCTCTGCTGGATACAAGGCTAGATGGGTCATTCTCGATAGAAACGTTAACGTCCTCCCTGGTTTTCAAAAAGAAGAGCATATCCTTTACATTTCTTCCATAGATCCAAACATCTGGATTCAGCCACAGTTTACCAGATTAGATTCTGTGATTTTTTTTTAATAGCTGTAGCACAAATTTGAACTCTGACCAAGACTCACTAAAGCCACCCATGTAGTAGAAGACATAGTGTGGGTGATAGTTTTGGGTTCCTCTCCTCCCTTGCATTATACCCATACCTGCTACTCAAATGGAAGAAATGGATCCTTTGGAAAAAGTACCATGTAATGTAAAATTAGAGATAAGAGTAGAACCAAAACCTTAGATTCAAACACCCTTTAATTTACAGGTCAGAGCTGAGGTTTGCAGCTTTGGCTGATCTAAATGTAACTTTGATCTTTGCCCCATATTCAGACAGAACCCTTATGGAGGCTTGTAAAAGGCTGGCTAATTTCTGTCGCACATACATGCTTCCTCCACTTTCAATTAATTTTGTTTTTCATGATTGCCTCTGAGTTCCTACCTTCCAGCTGGGCCCAGAAACAAAAATGACAAAATGCCAACAGAATCATAACTGGTTACAAGGCCAAATAATGTTTGATCTAGAGACTTACTCAAGAGAGAGTTTCTCTTCCTCCTCACACAGATCTGGCAGCCTCTGCAAGCCCAGAGTCATCCGTAGGGCATCTACGTGCTCCTTCAGGGGTTTGTACTCTTCATGCAGGCGCCGAGTGGACTCCAAGAGCTTGTTGAGGTCATTCTCAGACTGCTTGATGGTGTTCTCCATCTGAAACAGGAGATAACATTTGTTTAACAGATTGCTCCAGTCACAGCTCTCTGATTCACCAGCCAGAGGTGGCAGAGTGCAAAGATGATGTTGCCCTTTAGAAAGTGGAGCTTTTTACATTCAGATGGGTGCAGAATAGGCAGACAATGAAATGGCCAAATAAGGAATTAACATTCTGTGGGGTGGAATATGGGCAGGGAAAAAGCAGCTGGAAGCAATTAGGCCGGGCAATGTTTTTGTGTTAAACATGTGAGAGGTAGTGTCAAAAAAGGATTCAGCTTGCACCTCCTTCTTCCTCTGCACAGCAGCCCAGGAAGGCAAGTGTGATAACCGCTTAGCTGGATCACCAAATGCGGGCACTTTGGAAAGATTCTCAAGAAAGGTTATAAAAATAACCCTTAAAAAAAAATCTCCACTGGGGCAGGGCCAACTCATTTGCATTATTTCAAGCCTTTCCAAATACCCCCTGGGTTCAAAAGTTTAACTCTGATATTGTTGAGTTCATGTTCCACTTGGGAAAGAGAGGGAGAGAAGCAGCAGAGAGAAAGATAATCTGAGGGAAACACCAAGTGCAAGTGGGACAGCGTGAAAGAGAAGCAGGGAGTGGAGGGGGTGAGAAAATTCTAATGACAAATGAAGGTGGTGTATGTGCCATATATTCAAGGCACCCACTTCTGCCTACCCACAGTTTGGGAGATTTTCCATCCCTAATACAGAGCCCAGGCTTCCCTTTAGCTCAACATTTTAAAAATATTTACTCACCCTTAAGAAAAGTGTGAGTTTAAAATTGCAGGTGAATGGAGTTGCTAATTCAGAATGGTTTTGTAAACCCAGCAGTTCACAAATCCTCAGCACTCTCCAGTGTACCCCTCTACTAATTAGTCTCCCTATTTTGTATTAATATCCTTCACTCTCCTGCTTGTTTTACTATTTGTATTGCAGCAGTGCTTAGTTGTCTCAGGGAGAAATCGAGGCTCCCTGATTCTAGGCACTATACAAACATAACAAACCATCCCACTATCCCTGCTTCCCAAAAAGAAAACAACCCAAATCCCAGACAGCTGCCAAAGCCTCCCAGGTTCTAGGTGTTAAATTAGGCAGCACTAAGAGGGTTATTTGCTAGGAAGAGTCAGACTAACGTTACTATGGCTGCTGGTATCATCGCAGCAGCAATGGGTTTGGTTGTTCGTTCCCTTTGACCTAAATCCCTCCCATGTCTATTATTGAAAATCATTTTGCCTGATACAGACAAGCACTAACAGTGACTAACTTTAACTCGTTTGATACAATCTATATAATCCTTTCATGCTGTCAGGAAAGCTCAAGTGGCATATCTCTAATCTGTCAACTGTATATCCTTAGGACAATCCATATGGAACTATATATAAAGTATATCCTGCCCACAATCCCTCTGCTACATACCACATTTATGTCAGCATGGATCAGCCGCAGCTCCTCCACATGGGCCATCTTTTCCTGCAGCAGAAGGTCCATCTCCTGCTTGTATTCCTTCAGGTGCCTCTCCTCCGATTCCAGGGCTTCAAACTCTGCCTTCAGGCGTGCCTTGATCTTTTCCATCTGCAAAGTCTTATTCCTACAACCCACCAAAAATTACAAATATAAAGGGACAACTGCCGTAATGTCAATGTAAATTCTGTTTGCTCAGAGACATCACACAAGCAAATGTGTTCACATCGATAGCAAGGGGTTGGCAAAAGTTGATAAGGTCAGAACTAAAGTATATCTTTGAAAGACTGGGGTGGACTGTGCAGAATCCTGGAATCAGAGAACTCCTGGGTTATAATCCCAACTCTGTCACTGGTCTTGTCTCCACTAAAACTTTTTTATTGTACTGGACAATAGAGTTAGATTACATGAAATTTACCATGATTTAGCAGTTACTGTAGACCAGGACAATTGTGTTCAGCATTGTATCAGTCATGATTAAACCTTAATCACGAGAGAGGAAATTCTAGAGAAATGTTCATTCCTGCTAGGCTTTAAAGGAGCTTTTGAGAAATGGAGTATAGGATGCAAATGCCAACAATCTCGACAGTAGACTGAGACACTAAAATGCCGACTTTTGCTTTATACAAAGGATGCTCCAAGATATCAAAAGTTCTGATGGCATTTCAAAGCATCTAAAATTCCACCTGCAGTCCACAGGGTAGTCTCAGTTTTCTGCTGACCTCCAGCCCCTTTAATGCTATTTGTAACTGCAGCTCCCTTTGTTCTACATTCCAGTTTTTGTTTCTTCTTTTTAAAATGGTGCAACCCCATATTTCTACACATAAAAGCTATGGAGTCTGGAGCAATGTCTTTCCCTCCAAAGCTAGGAGAGAGGGACTGGCTGTTTAAGCAACATAGCAGAGCTATGCTTACTATTAGTTGAATTGGCACTGCTTCATGACCATCTCCATTTTAAAACAGTTGCCCAGACAGTCAGGAACCTGTTCTAGTTCCCAATCCAGTTTAGCCAGGCCATGATTCAATTGTATTCCAATCTTCACTTTCCAAAGACATGATCTTAGAGATGCAGCCCCTGCTTTCATCAGAACTGTGCCCACCAACTCTGCTATTGTGAAGGCTTTGGAGTTGCTTCTGTTACCCCTCCTCTTACATCCCTTGTGTCCAATTCCAAGAACAAATACAATACCTGCCTAAGCCTCCAGTACTTCTGATCCCTCCCCTGTGCATTTTTAAAGTAGTCTATAGCTTCAAACAGATCGAAAATGAAAACCAGAGGAACTGTGATAATTCTGTTGAGAAATCAAAATCTGACCAAAGACCTTCAAATGGACCAGGATCAAGTCCTTGGGTAAAAAATTCTGGCTCCTATCATGAGTTTTATGGATGGGACTGAGATAACTGCAGGAGATCCAAAACACTGCACCATGGGTTATTTTTCTAGGGTGTAACATACCCATAGCAGAAATGTCCAACACTGATAATATCAATAAAAGGAGATTTCTTAAAAAAATCCTGAATGAAATTTTACATGCTTCTTTGGAACAAAATACAACGAAGTCCTTCATCACATGAGACATTTTAAAAACAGCCTTAAAAATAAAAAATCTCCCTCTAGACGTTGGATTAATGTTGCTTCTGATCAGCACCATTACACTGGGGAGTAGAAAAGCTGGAAGCAGAGGTGTGCACAGTACAAAGCCAGACATGGAATTGGATCAACTCAGAGGTCACCCAGAGATATTTACAAAGATATTCACTTAGATGAATATTTTACAGTTACAGTAGGGTTGCCACCTTTCTAATTGCTAGTAACCAGACCCCTAAAGACCCGCGCCCTACCCTCCCTATTCCACCAAGACCCCACTCTGCCCCCACCCCCATCACTCGCTCCTCTCTCCCCCCACCCCCATTGCTTGCTGAATTGTTTCCACGTACCCCCCCCCACACCCCTGCCACGGAGCTGGGTTCCCTCTGCTCCAGAGCTGGAATGGGAGCTCCTGCAGCATGACTAGAAGCCTGCCTGCAGGCAGGAGGCAGCCCCAGCTGAACAGGGGCTGGTGTGGGTTAATGACCTAGCGCCTCCCCTCACCCCACAGAGACCAGACTTTTGATGTCCATCAGTACATCTGACCAGACACTGCCAGGTTCCCTTTTTGACCAGACTTTCCAGTCAAAAACCAGGCTCCTGGCAACCCTAAATGACACCCAGACACAGAAACCAAAAACCGGACTGTCTAGGTAAAATCCGGATGAGTGGCAACCCTAAGCTATAGGCATGTATATTTCATATTGTAGATGCCATGTATTATTAAAGAGAATATTACATGCTTTATATAGATACAAACATTTTTTTAAAAGGAAGCCAACTGTCCCAGCTTTGAAGAATCAGAATCAGCCCATGAAAGTAAAAACGTCTGGAAAAAAAACAGTCAGCTATAAAAGCATTATATTGATAAAAATCATCCCCTCATCAAGCCAGAGATCATTTTGTCAAAACAAACGGCTACCTGAATGCATTGATTTCTGCAGCCAGAGGCAGTGCTTATTTCAACAAGAAAGTAGTTGCTGACTGTTCCAGTGGCCCAAATCAAAAGTATATTAGCCACTGTGAAGAATTAATGGTCACTTAAGGGTTTTTAAAACGACCACAGTAAACTCTGGGGAGTTATTTAGTAATAATAATAAAGTTGTCATACTTTTTACTTTCAGGATTAATAGTGCCATTTTCTCTACATGAAGCAAACATTCATAACTGATAATCTGATGAAAATTAAGAAGAAAAACGTATCATTCAACTCTCTAGAACTCACAAATTTACAGGAGTTTGGAGGGAGGTCTTTCATCTACTGAGGAGACAGGATGTGCATGATGTTTTAACAGTTTTAGAAAATGATGCATATTTATTTTATATTAAGATTTATTACTTTTGAGTGAGAGGATGAAGAGAATTAGAGCAACTGGTATTAAAATTTGTTATTCTTACAGCGTTAGGGCCCAATCTTACAGAGATTTACACAAGTGCTTAACTTTACGCACTGTGAGTAATGTGAATTTTTCAGTGCATTGTTATTAATTATGTGCTTTCCAGGAGCATCCATAATATGCGAGGCATTCTCACTCAGACAGAAGACAGTCAATGCCCAGAAGAGTTTACAATCTAAGGCCCCAGTCCTGCATCCAGATCTGTTAGCACTGAACTCTGACTCCATGTGCCGTGCCATTGACCTCAATGGGACTTTGCAAAGGAAGAGGGGGTTGCACCAGTACATTTGGAAGCAAGAGTAGGGTGGGACAGAGGGATTCAATCGAAATATATGCACTTTTAAATAGACATTATGTAATTTTAAAAAGTAAATATATTAACTATACTGTCCCTTATACTTGGTCAAGTTCTTGTAGCCACCACAAAAGTAAAGCTGTTGATTAATCGCAGTTAACTCACGCGATTAACTCAAAAAAATTAATTGTGATTAAAAAAGTTAATCATAATTAATCGCACTGCTAAACAATAGAATACCAATTGAAATTAAATATTTTTGGAAGTTTTTCTACATTTTCAAATATACTGATTTCTATTACAACACAAAATACAAAGTGCACAGTGCTCACTTTATATTATTTTGATTACAAATATTTGCACTGTAAAAATGATAAACAAAAGAAATAGTATTTTCCAATTCACCTCATACAAGTACTGTAGTGCAATCTCTTTATCGTGAAAGTGTAACTTACAAATGTACATTTTTTTTGGTTACATAACTGCACTCAAAAACAAAACAATGTAAAACTTTAGAGCCTACAAGTCCACTCAGTCCTACTTCTTGTTCAGCTAATCACTAAAACAAACAAGTTTGTTTACATTTGCAGGAGATATTGCAGCCTGCTTCTTATTTACAATGTCACCTGAAAGTGAGAACAGGTGTTCACATGGCACTTTTGTTGCTGGCGTTGCAAGGTATTTCTTTGCTGTTACTAGTCAGTTTCATTTTCTAGTTCCAGTGTGCTGCCAGAATGCAACAACATTGGAGTTTCAGGGGACTGTTCCAACCCAAACAATAAACTTTTAATATTAAAAAACAAAGTACACCTGAATTATGAAGACATTTCCACTAATATTAGGGCATTTAAAATATTTATTTAAAAAAAAACCCTAATTTTGGAACCTAGGCTACATAGTTGATACTGCTCTCATTTCTATTCTTTTCCATTCTAAGTTCCTATACTGCCCTCTTCACCATACTGTCTTAGGGCTTGTCTACACTACAAAAATCAAGTCAACTTTATCTAATTGGACCTCGAGCCCCCAAATTAATTAAGTCGATAGTGCGTGGCCACACCGTGCTCATTGTCTCGATGGAATGCATCCTCGCTAGCAGTGCCTGCATCGATGCACAAAGCAGTGCATCGTGGGTAGCTATCCCCAAGTGCAACTTGCCACAGTGTGTGTTGGGAAGTCTGTGCAATGCCTCATGGGACCAAAACATTGTCACAGGGGAGAATGGGAACATTGCATTGGCATCCCATGATGCACTGTGCTCAATGGCAAACAACCCAGTGGTTTTCACACCTTAAAACCGCCGCACATGCACCATAACCCCAGCCTGCTCAGTTGTGCACTCTTGCTGTGAGCATTTCAAATACCTCGCGCCTTCTCCTGCAGTACTTCCAGAGCCGAAGTAGGGTCTGCCGCACGGAACATAGCGATGTCTTGCAAGCAGCCCTGCTGCAAGCCATTAAAAAAAACAATTCACAGTTGCTGCTGGCAGTCACAGAGCAGCTGCACTCTGTTGAGCGCCATTTCTGGTCCCGTGGAACAAGCGCTGATTGGTGGGACCACATCATTTTGCGGGTATGGGATGATGAGCAGTAGCTGCAGAACTTTCGAATGCAGAAGGCCACCTTCCAGGAACTTTGTGCAAAGCTTTCCCCTGCCCTGCAGTTCAACAACACAAAAAGGAGAGCTGCTCTGACAGTGGAGAAGCGAGTGGCGATCGCTATTTGGAAGCTTACAACACCAGACATTTACCGGTCAGTGGGGAATCAATTTGGAGTAGGTAAATCAACCGTGGGAGCTGCTGTGCTCCAAGTATGCATGGTCATTAACCGACTTCTGCTACGAAGGGT